ACTTTAACAAAGTATTGTGCGACAATTATCACGTTTCATGTATGTATTGATAGGTTTGTATGTCACTGATTGATGCTCTCTCGTAAGATTGAGGCCTCGACGTACCCTCTCTTGTGAGCTTTGTGCTCTCTTGTCGGGAATTGTTAGCCAGTAATTTGAATTGCGGCCATGATTTTACTATAGATTGTTTTCTAGAGAAAAAGACCACGAGGTTAACTGTTGTCCAGTGCTTCTTTTGCGTCATTGCTTACGTTCTGCGTGGTAATTTTTAGATGCCTTCCTAACTTCAGTTAAATAAGATGGACAGTGATTGATATATCTTGTATTTCAATGTTTGATTCAACATTTTTTAGTTTAATCATTAAAAAATTATTATTTTTTAGTTTAAAATTAAAAACAGATAAATATAATGATATAATTATGTACACATGATATAAGAACCGATTGAATTGATTGTATTTATATTATATTTTTAATAATTAAATCAAAAAATATTGAATTGAATATTGAATCGAAAAATGTACCAAACATTTCCCAAATGAGATTCATACATCAACATGCCTTCTCAATCCAAGGACAATAAAGAGGTTAAATTTTAATTTTTGATCTCACAATTTTGATTTGAATTTTTAATTTGGTTTTTAAACTAATAAATTTTTATTTGATTCAGATATTAAAATTATAATTTAACCTAATAGTAATTTTGTGATTAAATAAGTTTTCAAGGTTAATGTAGACAATAAATTTTATGTACATTATTAATTTTTGTTGTATGAAATTTTCACATTATTAATTTAAAGGAAAAACAAGTTTTGTTTGAGTTATTTAGAGCTGAGTGGTTGAGAATGATGGTATGTATGACTATTTGTAAGCCTATTGATTTTATTTTTTATATAAATTTTTTGAAAAGTAAAAATTAAGTTTTTTTATTAATTGAGTATAAATAACACTCATGTTCATACACACTCATTTACTACCGTTATGCTTTCCTCCCAAAACATGCACATCACGGTATTAACCAAACCATGTGCCCTTTTAGTATTCTAAAATACTGTCTAAGATTTAAGATCCATACATGGAGGAGCATGTTGCTACCCTTCCCTCTATATTTTAATCAATGGAATGATCTAACCTGTATCATCAATTCAAAGAT